GGGGGGGGGGGGGTCGGGGGGAAGGCGTGCGTAAGGAACGGCCAAGTCTTGCCTTTTCAGTTGATGCAAATCCATAATCTTTTCTGGCTTGAGTTCAAACATGCCATGTAATAAAGCGTCGCAAAGTGCAAGTTTTTAAAACGGCGACCCAACCCAACCCTTTCCGCCCCACGCAGGGGCGGGTTAAGGGTGCTCCCAGCACCCACTTTTAGCCGTTTTTATAACCAGCAATTATTTGACATCTTCGTTGGGACACCATCTACGCGTATTACTGAGACTTTTACCAATGCAAATCGTGAAAAATTCTCTACTTTTCTCTACTTCACGAAGAAAGGTAGGGTGTAGGCTAATCTTTTCTGGCAGTGCAACCGCCTGCCCCATTGTTCGCTAGGCCGTGTGGTGAAGCTTCTTGGTTCAGAAAAGTTCATTTTTCGTTTAAAAACATGGCATTAACACAGCTTTCAACTGTAATAAGTACCTTTAATTTAGTTTACATCTGATCCGGCAATTGACGATCTACATTGGTGACTCGAAGATCCAGCCCCTATAAAGTCAGTTGTTTTAGAAATTTTCTCGTTCCAATAGTGCCCACGGGCGGTATTCTACCTTTGTTTATTCCTACTAAAAAAAACACCACCACAACCGACGCACCAAAACAAATTGACAGCCACCCGAAGCTGCACAATCCTCAAGAATGATGGCATACATTAGTGGCATTCCGGAGGGCCAGCGCCTGAGGTACAGCAGTGGCTTTCATTTTTGGGGCGCCGCCTCTATGGCCAAGTCTTGAAGCAGGGGGCCAGCGCAACGCTGTAGCGAAACGCGCCTGCTTTCCATCAAGTCTGGCAAATCAAACTTTCTACGGTCAGATGTTTTCCGTTCTCTCAAATATTTGACCGGTGCCAAAAACGGGGCCACCAAGTTGCATTTAAAACAGACACACTGGCATCTCAAAGATGCGCAGTTTCTTCAGAAACACTTCTGGTAAAATAATAAACGCTGTTCCGCCCCACCGCACAATAGTCACATTAAGGTTCCCCCAGCAGAGGAATCCAACTTTTTCGCAGCCGTGCCAAAAAAAAAAGAAAATAAGGCATATGCGATGGTATAGGGTTCGCTTGGGCTTGCGCCAGTGCTCTGGTGTGATTCTGTTTTTTTTGCGCGGTATTGCGCTGCGTTGTTGTATGCACGGGGGATTTTTCATCAACTTTGGCAGCGGGATCTTTTGATCATCCGCCGTTTCTTGGCATATTCAACGGGAGGCTTTTATTCAGACAAAGGGTTCCCTTATACACGGCTATGCGTCGCTATGCGTCGAGTTTGAATGGCCCACAAGCCCGAACAACAAAGCGCAATCAGCACACTAGTTTTGAAAAAAAAGGTCTATGTAGTTGCGTTTCGGGGTTGGGGGAAAAAAAAATTGGCCAGCCCCCAACCCCTCGGATTAGCACGGCAAACGGCCCCCGCGCCCCGCAAAGCGACCGGCCCCTTAAAGGGCCGGCTGGCGGTGCCAGTTCCTCTTTTCTTTCATGCGGCCAGTTTTTTGCAGCCGTCATGGACTTTGTGCCGGGCTCTGTTTTCAGCTTCTTGCCTTCGCTTTTTTGTTTGTTTCGGGGGGGAATTCAAAAGAAACAAATAAGCCTTCATATTGTTATATGAAACAGGAAATCGTATTATTATTTTCTTCATTTCTTCCTCCAACAAAGAGCCTTGCAAGATGCAACTTCTGAAAGCAGAAGGAAACCAAAACCGAGTTATTACAATGCGGCTCCAGCCCGAAAACCCATTTGGGCTTTAAACGGATGGCAAATTTCAGGGCTACCGAAACCTAAGTAAAACATCAAAGCCGCACATCCTTTTCCTTAACCTGTAGAAAAAGTTTAAGTGTACAGACGAATTAGATTGAAAGCATTGTGAACATATAAAACGGTAAAATTGACCTATGCCAGAACAACAGTAAGGCGATTTTTTGTAAATTCGCGGAACCCCATTATTGCGTTTCCCCGTGGCGAACAGAAAAAGCTCTCTAAATGCATCTGAAGTGACGTGTCTAACGTTTTGAACTTAAAGGTCGATTTTTGATGAACGCTAATCGATGCCAGAAGATAAATGCAAAATGCGTAGAACACAAAACAGGCACAACAATCTAAAAATGCAACAAAACGCCCTCAATCAATCTATGGAAATGTAACATTAAATCAACCTGTTAAACAACAGAAACAAACAATTACGGAATGAAGAAAGCCAGTTAGAAGTTTACACCAATCAGCAACAGAAACAACCCGCCCAAAACCGCGGAGAGGCACAAGGCCGGAACCCACCCGTGGGCTTGCGAGAAGAAAAGGTTGGCATAAAACAGCAGAAACTGACAATCACTCTCTGCAGCAGGCCTTCTGAAATGCCACCTGAAACGATATTCGCCTTAACGGACTTTGGGCGAAACATCGAATGATAGTTTTTGCCGGGAGAAAAACTTTGCAATAGAGCAGTGGCACCACCTCCGGCAGGAGCGCGGCCGGTTGGTGATCTGAGAAATAAATTGATTGAAAATTGGCTTCGGCCAGAAAAAAAAATCAGGAATTTTTGAGAAAACCCAGGAGTACATCTTAGGGGCTTCGCCAGGACTGTTTACGGTAGGTTATCTCAGCCTTTTTCTATTACCCATGAAACTGGGCTTTGATCTTTAGCAGGCACGGGATAAGTTTGTGGTCTGTCTTCTTTTCCATTCCACCCGAACGCACATCTGCCAAACATGAGCAGTAGGGCAGGAGAATTTATTATCAACTGTGAGCTTTGCAGGCTGCTAGGGAAAATTCAGGAGCGAGAATCCAAACCATAGCCGACGCCATGGGCGACACCAGCGCGGAAGAAGACCCAAGTTTTTCGGCCGTTCAAAAGGCTAAAAAAAATTCTGCCCCTCCTCTGAGCAGCACGCGGCGTTGCCGCTGCGGTCATTTTGGGGTATTACAACGCAAAGAGCCGCAAACGGCTGCAATAGGTTCCGTTCACGCCAACAAAACGATTAGCGGCCCCACAAACAACAAACTTTATGTCAGGAATGCTTTGGAACCCATGCCCGAAAGTAAGAAAGCTCCGGCCTCTAATGGGAGGTGTGGAACCTCAGCGGGCAGCGGTTAGCACAATACCCCGCCGTGCGTGGATTCTGGGCGGGGGGGTTCTTCAAACAATGCGCCAACACACCACCACGAGAAATGGAATAACCCTTTTTTGGTTCTTGAAAGAGCCCCCACATTTCAAAACCAGCAAACGAGGTTGCAATAATTTCCGCACCACCCCACGAATCGTGCGTCGTGGCGTGGGCTTCGGGGGAAAACCGCATCACGAAAAGCATTTGGACGCATTCAGAGTGAGAACGGCGGGTTTTCGTAATGGTACCGTTTCGAGAACTCACAGAAAATAGCAATTGGGTGGTTACAGAAGGAAACGTTCCTCTTACTATAGTTTGCCTCAAACTAAACAAATGAAATAGAATGCAATATGCAAGAACCCTTCTAGATTTACAGGATGCAGTGCGAACGCCTGCTTGGATTTTTTTGGCAGGTTTTGAACAACACGAAGAAGTAAGTTAAATAAAGCAGCCTTGTCCAATAAAGGGGTGGGGACTGGACCCCATCGGCGGTTTTATGATTCTAGAAAACGACCGGTTCGCCCTGCAGCTCGAATGGGCAAAGGCCACTCGGTGGGGAGAAATCGCCCCACCACCGAAGGGAAACCTTATACCACATACAAATGGCAAGGAAGCTCCCATTGTAAATTGTAGAGCGCTACTAAAGAACATTAAAAATCCACCCACACAGAGCAGCGGGATATGCAGAAATCGGGGGGCTGCAAAAAAGGCGCGGGCCGCCATCAAGGGCACGTGAGGCGGGACAACTGCTAAAATTAGCAGAAAGAGATGAAAAAGATTCTCAAAGACTACGGAATGACACCGCATTTAATTAAAAAAAGGAGCACTAGCCCATGCAGCTACAGCAGTCATGAAACGCGATCTCGGCCCACGAACGTTGTTCCAGTAGAGAAAGCACGTAGACCCCCTCGAGGCTCCACGAGGCAACGCCCACTATATAGGACACTGGGGCGTATTGGTCAACAAGTCAGCAAAGTTGACGCCACGCATGTTGGTGATATCAAAAAAATCGGGCTTTGCTTCCACGGGCCATTCCAAGTACACAGCAAAACAAGTAAACTTTTTTTTGGAAGGATAAAAACATTCTTGACGATTGCATCGCACAAAAGCAGCCACTCAAGAGGAAGAATAACATTTCCTTTACAACAGGTGGGCGCCGATACGGTACAACAATACTGGGTCATAAATCAGAAGATTAAAAACACAGTGAACCGCATCAATCGTTTATAGCAAATCTCGTGAGAGGCCACCGGCACCATGACTGGGTAAGAAGGGGCCTCTGTTGTGAACCTCTGAAGCGGAGGACAGGATACTAAAAAAGGTTAGCGCTAGCAAAAAGGCGTCGGCACAACCATTCCAGCTTGGGTGGTGACTTTTGCAGTTGTTGAAAAAAAGCCTATTGTGGCGAAGAAGAGTTTAACAGCTTGGCTTAAAACAAAACAAAATAATCAGAAGGTCTACGAAACCATGGCCCCTTCGGGACATGTTTCACAAAGGAGCGGATGCACTTTACGATAAAACAGCCGCCATTTGTAGCCATCAGGCATCATTGTTTAAGCACGAACCACCACCAAAGAACGCATACATGTTAAATGGGTGGCGCTGAAGGAGGGAAGCTTTTAGAGTCCGCTCAGTACCCCATCAAAACGCAAACCCATTCCGTATATTTACAAACAATAACCAGCAATTTAGTTTTGGCCGCCAAGGCCGTAAAAAAACGACAAACAGCCCCACTGCGCCTACAAGTACAAGATTGCATCGTTATTAACATAGTAAAGTAAAGAACACAAAAACGATAAACCAAAAAAACACGCCATTCCACAAAACATGCCCCAGGCAGCGTGACGATGGGCGGGCAAACGATTCCCACAAAGAAATGTAAATGCATCAAGGCGATGCCTGGAAATGCCACCCGCCCTTCATGGCACCAGAGCCCCGTGCTTGGCAATCCCGGAAGAAGCCTGGCGCCAGCAACTTTCATCATTTGTAGGATTTTCCGGCGCCAGGCCCAAGGAATCGCACAGTGCCAGG